AAGAAACAGGGAAGAAACTGCTGTTTCTTCCATCAGGAAATATTGAGTACCATTCTATATGCCAGGCAACATACCAGATTCTGGGGAGGCAGGATTGAATGAGTCACAGGTTTAACTTGAGAAGCTCAGAGAGTGAGTCAGACAATAAAAAAAGAAAAGAAAATTTAAAGAAAAGGAAAGAAAGAAAAAGTACAGCCCAGACATTTGTGTGGCTACTAATACAATGTGCTGACGCAGTTGGTTCAGCAGAAAGCTTGCCTGGAGCCAGGCATTACATGGAGGGCTTTACTGCTTTGCCTCATCTGTTCTTCCTTGCCACCTACAGCGGTGGGGGTCTTGGGAGCCCCATTTTGCGGAGGCTCCATGTAACTCGCATATCTCACAGCTAGATTGTTGAAAAGTTATCGAGCCGGGACTTGCTGGCAGGTCAGTGCTCCTAAACATCTGCTGAAAGATGGCAGAATTTTCTCTAAAGTAGACTCCACTGTTAATTTAGCCACTATTCTGACCAGCCTTTGTCAGCAGAGTTAGTACGCTGGGTGCCCTCACATCATGATTCTGCGTCCCTGGCAGCTCAGGACCCTTTATGTGAGTGCACCCTGACAGGGAAGCCCGGCTTGACCTTCTATTTACTTTTGATAAGATGGAGTTTCATATATTTTTAGCCTTCTTTGTACAATTTCGGGTTTTTCAGCAAACATTTATCAAAAGCTTGCCTTGAACAGGCCAGTCGGGTTTTTTTTTAAGTCACATTGTTTTTTTAAAAAAAAAAAAAACAAACCGGGAACTACCGCCCCAGTCATGCAAATTAATAAGCACTGCCTTAACTATCTTGACAACTCCTCTGCGCCATCCAGCCATCCACGCCCTGTAGGAAGCTTGCTGAGCCTCAAGGTATTTGCTCTAAACAAATGCTGCTGCATTCTGCCCTGGGATGTGGATAGAAACACATTCCTCACCTGGCCCTAACCCATCCAGCCCTTCCTGTACATTACCCAGGAGATTTGCCTTATCTCTTGCTCTACTGGGAGCCTTTTGCAGTTCCCCACTAATTACCCTCACAATAAGGGGGGCTGGTGGCAATAACATGGCCCCACTTCTTTAGCTTTCATCAAATTCTGGGGGCCCTATGACCCCCGCAAAGGCCAAGAAAGTATCCTGTGGTGTTATATTTCTCCCATATGCTTTAATACTGTTTTTGTTATTGAACTTTGTATGTGTCTATCTTGTTTAGACAGTGAGGCATTGCAGTTCTGAAATGTGTGGATTTTTTTCGCTTATAAACGTGGTGTAAGCTCAGTGTTGTACACTTAAACCTAGGAAGTCTCAGGGTGATCCTCACCTGTTCATTCCTCCCGCTTACCAGGTGGTACCTTGCCATTTCTATTCATATAGCAGGGAATTCAGTGAGACACTTCGTATTTTGAATTTTTTGTAATCCCTGAATTCTGCTTGTTATTCTTCCTGAACTTTGCTTTTATTTACTTTTTTAAAAAAGATTATTTATGCATACAAGACTTGGGGTGTAGGTTATAGCGGGGGTGGGGGAGAGGATTCACCAGAGACACAGTGGGGAGCAGAACAGGTGGATTGACTGAAATACACTGCTGAGGGGAGCAGCGGGCGAATCAGGAGAGGTCTGCTGCACCATGTGGGTCAGCTCCCTGGCCAGGGATCAAACTCATGCTGCAGTGGTTGGTGATAGCTTCAGTAGTGCTGAGACTAAGCCCTTGCACTACCAGGAAGGCCCCTGAACTTTGCTTTTAATTGGTTTTTGAGTGAAGATAAAAGTAACAGTTCTGCTTAAAAGCTATCCAGTTTGTGGACTTAAATTCTTCAAGATTTAGCTGACTAAAGTTTAACAGAGTACTTAACCAGCGGATGCCAGATTAGCACATTTATCAGCCTTACTCTTCCAACAAAAAAAGGGGGGGGGGGCTTTTATTATTCTCTGAACTAAACCTCGGACAAGGGCTCAAAGGGAATTTTGAGAGCAGTTGGGTGACCCTAGATGTTTGCAAAGTGGTGCTCCTTAAGCAGTATCTGGCCTACGGACATATGACTAAGGTGAAGGGGTGGGTGTCCTTCGGTCAGGACCTGTGTCCTCCAGTTTACCTTAATTCTTAGGCCCCCTGACATTTAAGCCGGACCTAAAGAAATTTACAAAGCCAGAGCACTCTTCCCGCTAATTTTCTTTTGTTCTTTGGAAAATAGAGTTACATATGTGTTATGATTAGTTTTAAAATTAAATAATTTTAAATTATTTAAAATTAAATAATTTTAAATTTCCTCAGTTTTAATTCTGAATTCTAAAATATCAGTAGCTGTAAGCCACACAAGCAAAGGTTCTTTGTAGTCTTCAATAATATTTACGTGTAAAGGAATCTTGAGACCAAAAGAAATTTGAAAACTGCTTTCAAATGGAATGAATGACTACTGTATTAATCAGTATATAGTACAGTTATTCTGATATTTGTAAGTGTAGCCCAACTTCTACATGGAATATTTTTAAACTGCCTAACAGATATTGATCAGTCCAATGTTTTTCATTTATTAAATTGTTTTTGATGCTTATTTTATAATTGAATCAAATTGAATATTCCTATAATGCCAGTACCGCAGTAACGACAAAAGCTGACATTTTCCTCTGTTGTGCTCACTGTTCCAAATACTAACCTAAAATAAGCCTGATTCTTTAGTTCTTTGGTTCTGTTGGACATGTGGGCTTTGTACACTTTGTTTTTTAAGTAATTGAATGTCTAGTCTAATGAAAATGTCTGTTAGAAGTATGGGATTAATTACCAATATAACATTTCTCCCAATTTCACAGGTTAAAATCAAACATCAGAAAAGTGTAACTTGCATTCACTGTTTTGAAATGAACAGCAATAAACTTGTGATTATTTCAATTAGGGTTTCCTGATCTGGTTGTGAGATGATGATGTAACATTCTAGCCATAGGCCTAGTTTGGGAATAGTCATACCAGAAGTAGTTAGCCCAACCTGGTTTAAATACCTGACAAAAGAAAGTCACCCATGTTTTATTTTGCTAAAAAGAGCAACTCAAATTAGAGGTCACATATTTAACTTCCATTCAACAGTGAAGGACTTAGCTATGGATACAGTTATATTTTTGCCATTGTTGATTTGATATGAACAAGTTTTAGTAACATAAAAAATCTTGGGCCACTTAGGGAATAACATTGAGATGCCCACTTAAGAGAAAATATGTATGTACACACACACACACACATCCATACATATGTAGGTATGTACACGTATGTATATAACTGGCAACCTGACAGCAAATCTTATCAGCTCAGATCTCTAAAATACCTACACTCACGCTGTCTCACTACCGCCTCTGCTGTTACCCTGGTCCGAGCCAGTGTTATCTTTTGCTGGGATTAGTGCAGTGGCTTGTTAGCTGCTTCTGCTTTTGTTCCCTTCACTGCCTTCTTCACATAGCAGGCCCGGGGCCGGGAGGGGGGTGGGGTGGCCCGCAAGCCTGTGAAAAAGTAGTCAGGCCCCACTGCTCCTCTGGTCAGAGCTCAGGTCACTCAGTAACAGTTGGAATTCTTTGTCTCCTGCTATTCTTCATCTTACTGACTTGGTTTTAGTTAAATGGGCACTGTTGCTGTTTGGCACTCAGCGCAAGGGGCTTACTTCAGAGCCTTTGCACTTTCTGTTCCGGTTGCCCAGAAGACGCTCCCCTCAGTTCTCTGTAAATCCTACTCCCTCACCTTCAAGTCTTTAGTCTTGAACCCTGATGAGGCTTTCCTTAATACCTGATTCAAAAAGCAGCCTCCTCTTTCCCCTTACTTCTTGTTTCAGAACACTGCCATTGTCGTGGTATATAATTTGCATATTTTGTCAGTGATGTATCCCACACGAATGTAAGCTCTATGGGGCAGGCATTTTTGTTCTACTTACTCCCCAGTGCCTAGGAAAGTACCTGATATATAGTAGATACTCAGATACTTATTTCAGTTGCATGAATGAAGTGTAGTACGTGTCTCACACTTTGGGAAATGCTGATATACTGGGAACATCTGTAGTCTTGAGGCCCTCCAGTGGATCTGTTCTCACAGTCACCTGGTAAGTGCTGCTTGCCTCTGAGAGTGACCATTTGGGGCCTTAGCATTCAAAGAAATGAGAGCTTGTAACTTGCTTGGATCCTGAGTTTTTTCTGTACAAAACAGTCCACATGTCAGGGAATTGGGGGGTGGGAGTGGGGAGCAGAGGCAGAATGTGTTGAGAGAGCCACCCTAGGAGCCTTGCCCTGTGCTCAAGCACAGGGGAAAAGCCCACGTCCCTGCCCTCCCACAGTCTCAGTGTGATAGCTTTGGTGAGATACTTGCCAGGCTTTGGGATTTGGGGAAACAAGCAAATCAGAGCTCTGACTACCCTCAGCTTCTTCACAAGAGAGAAACTATGGCTTAAGTAATTGAAAATGTTATCTTGGGTGCCTTCATTTGACTCGGTTGATCGAGAAGACACCATCTTTATTTGATCCACTCGTGAAGGCCATTCCTCCTAAGGTACTCAGTCATTCCCACAAGCGAGCACATCCTTAGAAAAGTGTGATGAGAACAAAACGGAAAAGAGGCCGCTGCTCTTCCAAGGCACTTTTGTTAGGTCTTGATATTGATAATTTTCATCCCAAACTGTGGACCCAAGTTAATCAACATTTAGACATGTGAATCCTTCACCAAGTTGGCCAGAGCTCAGGGATGGCAGTGGGGTGTCGTGCTAGGCTCTGTCGTCTGGCCCTGGTTAGTCATCGCTTCGCCTGTAACAGAATCGCGCGCCCCTTCTCCTGGCTGTGCTGGTTGGTATAGATAGTTTTGTGAGCAGCAAGTTTGAGGTGCGACCTGTTTCAGCAGTTTTTTTGCATGTTAGCATCTTTATCCCCAGGTAGTCATAATGAGCAGCTAGCTCTAGGCTTACAGGTTCCCCTGGAGTTGCTAGTATCTTGAATTTCTTTCCATTTATTTTAGGAGTAAAAGTCCCTCGCAATTTCCGACTGTTGGAAGAACTCGAAGAAGGCCAGAAAGGAGTAGGAGATGGCACAGTTAGCTGGGGTCTAGAAGATGACGAAGACATGACACTTACAAGATGGACAGGGATGATAATTGGGCCTCCAAGAGTAAGCGTCGAGCTGCGGCTATAAATGTCAATGTCTTAAATTCACTGTGCCTCCTTTTAAAAAATATTAGCCTTATCACGGAAAAAGCTCACCAATGGTATATTTTCTGAAATGTGGCTATTCTTTTACCAGTTTCAGTTTATATATTTGAACCTCCTCTGATGCTGTTTAATCCCTTTAAATGGTAAGCAAACACCTGTTTAGACTCATAGTGTGAATTAGCATGACAATGTAGACAGTGAGGGTTGTTGTTTAGAATAAACTCCTGGGCTTGTGGAAGAACAAGGCTCCAGGTAGAGCCAGCGTTCCTGAAGTGTCCGGATGAACTCCGGGAAGCCTTCACACTTGTGGTTTTTATTCACTCTTAACCCAGTTTGGTCGTGCACCTGATCCAGCAGAGCACTGCCTCCCTGCTCAGCTCCGGTCTATCCAGGGCACTCTTAGGCCCAGAGGCCTTTGCAAAGAAGACAGAAACAATGGGGTTGGGCAAATGACCTGTCTTTTAGAGCTTGGTGATTGGTGCGAGTTTCCAGTCTCCATAACAGCAGCTAACCTTTTTTCAGGACACCTAGTAAAACCACCAGGAAATGTCATTTAAAGCTCACAGAAGCTGTTGCTAGACACTGCCATTTTATAGATGAGGAAACAGACTCAGACAAATGGATTACTTGCCCAAAGTCATATAACTGGTCATTCCCAAACCAGGTCTGACTCGAGCCTGTGCTCCTAACCATCACCTATATTCTCCCTCCTGTTTGTATTTTGACTTTTCCTCAGCTAGAGGATTCCCCAGAGAGGGAGTAAGCTGATGTAGGAGTAGAGTAGTCCTGCAGCTGACACTGATCTCAGACCAGCAGCGGGACTCTCAGGACTCTGCTGCTTGTGCTGAAGGATCCGCCACAGGTTCATCCCCCTGGCTGGGCAGCTCTGGCGGCTCCCGGGCCGGGCTGCCAAGGGCCGTTCGCTGGTTTCCCCGAGACGCTCAGTCATAAACCCATGTGGTGAGTGGCTGGCTTTACCATTTAGTGTTCCTTCTTGACTCATTTTTCTGACCCTATTGTCTTGTTTTCAGGTTTTTAAAACTTCTTCTGTTTTTCTTCTGGTTTTTTTCCCTTCTTTTTAATCTGTGAAAACCAGGCTTTTCTGGGTCTGTGAAATAACGGGAACCTGGCCTGGAAAGCGTGTGTCTTCATGGAGATCGCTCTTCTTGCCCTCCCTGAAAGTCTGTGTGGTGATGGCTTCCTTCGCTGTGTCCCTTCTCCTCCTGGGAGTGGTTTAGGTGTCTTGAGGAGGAAAGCTGTCCCTCCCTGCTCTTCCCAGCACCTGGAAATGACTCAGAGTAGGGTAGCTGTTTAACAGAGGTGATCACAACAGATGCCTTTTTAGGTTCTAACAAGTTAAGGGCGAACCAATGCAGAGCCTGTGAACGCAGTCGGTGCCTCTGAGTATAACCCGAAACGAGCACACAGAGGGAACCGTTGGCTTCTGGAGAAAGTGCTCCTCCATTCCACCCCAGCCACTTTGCGCCCAAGTGTCAGTTTCTCTACTTTTCCAGAGGGGCCGCTTCTGTGAGCAGTTACCATATGTGAGTTGTCTTCATACCTTCTCTTTCTTTCTTAGTAACAGCCTTATTGAGATAGAACTCACATGCCACAGAATTCATTTACCATAGAATATCCCCTTAAAACACATCGCTCAGTGGTTTTCATTGTTCAGAATTACATGACTGTCATCAATCCCAGAACATTTTCATCATCCCAAAATGAAGCCCCATCACCACTGGCAGTCATTGCCATTCTACCCCCAGCTCCTCAGCCGTGACCTCCGCTCATTTATTTTCTGTCTCTGAATTTGCTTGTTCTGGACATTTAATGGAAATGGACTTGTACAATTTGTGGTCTTTGACCAACTGCCTTTACTTAGCATGCTGTTTTTAAGGTTCATCCATGGGATAGCACTTAGTAGCTCTTCCTCTTTTATGACCAAATAATATGCCATCATCTGAATATTCCAGATTTAATTAGCTGGTAAACATTTGGATTTTTCCTTCTTTTTGCCAGTTACAAACAATGCCTCTGACATTTGTATACAGGTTTTTGTGTGGGCATGTTACCATCCTCTTAGACATTGTTGGATCATGTAGTAACTGTATGTTTACATTTTAAAGAACTGCCAAACTGTTTTCCAAAGTGACTGTACCATTTCACATGCCCACCCGCAGTGCATGAGGATTTAGGTTTCCCTGCACCCTCCCCCATACCTGTTACTATCTGTCCTTTGAATCCCTGTAGTTGATTTGATTGCCCTGGTTCCCCAAGGTAAAAAGCAAAGAGTCATCAAAGGAGCTCTCTACTTCTAGATGCTTCCCGTGACTAATCTGTTTTATGATTAGGATACAAGGTATATGTTGTGCCTCTAGAATATTGACATAATTATAAAAGCTGTAAATACAGCACTTGAGTAACTCATCTCCCCAGAACATTTTTGTTATTGTTACTAAAAGAAAATCCTCCACCTAAATTAAAAGGCCTGTACCTTACAATCCTGCAGTTCTGCTAGGAATTTACTTAGCTTTTCTTGAACATAGTGCCCAAAGGCAGCTTACCATGTATAAATTATTCCATATAACATTTTCAGTAATAGCAAAATATTAGGTACTGCTCAGCTATTGAAAAGAATGAGATATATATGTGTGCTGAAGTGGATGAGTCCATGATACTTAAGTGAAAAAAGTAAGGTCCAAAGCAGCATAAAGAATAAATGCTGCCACTTGGGGTGGGGCGCACAGGGAGAGGGAAAGCTTGTGCATGGCTGTTTCTGTGCGGTTAGAATACTTTGGGAAGATCATAACAGAAGCTGCTTTCTTCATAATGGATCTGGCTGACTGGGGCCAGGTGAAAAGGACACTTATTTTTACTATATACCTTTTGTATTCTCTGAGTGTGCTTTAATCATGAGTGTGTTAACTATTTACATATACCTTTTTTTTTTTTTTTTTTTTAAGGGAAAGCAAGTCCTCCAAATCTAAAAGCTAAGCTTCCCATCTAAGTGCCCACGCAGAATTCTGGCAAATTCTGCCCACAGCTAACTGCCAGAAGCAGAGCCCAGAGGGGGTCCCAGAGCCGGGGGGAGAACAACGTTTCTCATACTTGGCTCTAGTAACACCCTGGACTGTGGGTCATTCTCTGCTGTAGAGCCACCTTGGGCAGCGTAGGGTGTTAGGCAGCACCCCTGGTCTCTACTCACTGGGGCTAGTGCCTCCCTCCCCTAGTTGTGACCCCCGGAAGTGTCTCTGGACTTGGCCTAATTCCCACCTGACTGACAAGCACTTCTGACCTCTGGGGTTCTCCACCACAGTGTTCTGGGGTGTGTCCAGAAGTGCTGTTTGCGTGTTTGATGAAATCAGTTTGGGAGTGGGAAGTAAAAGGAAAGTGACCCTTTCTCCTTTTCATTAAACTGCCCACAGAATGAAAACTGGTCAGTTGGTGTGCTGCTTCCGGCTCTTACTGTGGCCGCAGACATAATTGTATATTCTTTTGAATAAAAGTGACGCCCTTCTATGCACAGTGTTTTTGCAACTTTTTTTTCTCTTTTATTTAGCAGGTAGATACTTGTCTATATCCGTGCATATGAGTGTATTTTTAAAAAACTCTTTTAAGTTACATGTCTGATACATGACTATATTCTTGTAAAAACTTTGAAACCATACAGAGTGTCTGGAGTAAGTGCCCTTTCACTCTGTGTTAGGAAAAGAGAGCTACTAGGTGTTTCCACAGAGCTCACTCAGTGTAGGGAGTTGATCACAGCTGGGCAGAGCTGTGAGATGGGATAAGCAACAAAGGCACATTGCGGGCACACACAGATGATACTGCGGGGAACCATCGCGGCCCCTGGGGCTGGGGCATGGGAGGAGGCTAGGCGCAGAGCTGGGAGGAGAGGTACCCTCCGTAGCTGGTCCCTGCCACAGCCAGCGAGGTTGGCTAGGCGAGATCAGATACTGGAGACCAGAAGCAGCTCTTGCTGCCAAGATAAGAGGCCCCTGCTGAGGTGACACTGACAGGAACGGAAGGCAAATGAGAGGAGTGAGTACCTTTCTCGTTTTAGTATTTGGGTCACGTGGTTGACTTGACAGTTTGGCCTTCAGTTGTACCGTGTTCACGTGGCCCGGGGGTCGAGTGAGAGGCATGAATAATTGATACTGTCTGTGGTGAGTCCTGTGGCTCCCTGGGAAGTGAGCAGAGCGATCAGGACAGAGGAAAGGGGTATCCTCGTGTGTAGAGGGCAGTGGGCAGGTGCTGCGAAGCTCCGAGCCCACCTGTCTCTTGTGGCTGGGGCTGTGCAGGCTACAGTGTCCCTTCGTCAGCCAGCTCCACACCTTCCCCTGTCAGATTCAGGAGACATCCTGAAAGGCCAGAGAAGGGGCACCGTTCCCTGTAGCCAGTCTAGGGGGTGTCCCAGCTGCCAGCCTGGGGCGCCTACAGAGGACTCCCTTGGAGTCTGGCGAGAGCTTCCTTCGAGCCTCTAGGCCTTTGCCTTTGTTGCCCCAGCTTTAAGGGTCACCACCTTCTTCCTTCAGTGATGCCCTATTAGCTCAGGTGTTGCTTGCTTGTTCAGCCCACCGACACCTGTTCACAGCCCCCCACACACATTAAATTCTCTGTTAAAATATCTAGTGTGGTGTCTTTGTCCTGCTTCTCCCTCCCTGTCGTGTCCTCCCTGTCCTCCCCAGGTGCACTACATGCATGAATCCTCTCGGGCTCCGCACAGCCCCGCTTTCTAGTGCGGAGGGCCCGCCCTTGGTGCCGACGCAGCACGGGCCCACACTGCACGTAAACATAATCCGTATTTAACCCCAAGATTTTAAATGAGTAGCTGTTGAGTAGTTGACCTAGTGTTGCCTTTTTATATATTAATTTAGGTTATTTATGATTTTCTTTGCATATGTTTGCTGCCCATGTTTTCCTTTCCTCGTATATTTTATGACACTTTAAGAGTTATAGAAAAGTTGCAGAGTTCCTCTACATGCTCTACCCCAGTTTCCCCTGCTTTGCACACCTTGTATCAGTTTGGTACCTTTGTCACCACCAGTGAGTGAATCAACACTGATACGTCATTATGAGCTAAGTCCATACTTTATTCAGGTGTTCTTAGTTTCTCCTGTGTCCATTTTCTGTTCCAGAAGCCTCTCCATGATATAGCACGTTGTATTTTGTCTTCATGTCCTGGGCTCCTTGTGGCTGCGACAGTTTAAGGTTTTTCTTATTTTCGTTGTCCCTGGAGAATGAATCTCTATTGGAATGTGTCTGGTATTTTATCATGACCAGGCTGGGGTTATCTTTTTTACACAGACATTTTTTTAGGCCCAGGAAAAGTTTAATCTCTAGGCTCTGGGCCTGTGGTGCATAATGGGTGAAGCCGCCCGAAGGCACATAAACCCCCCAAGAACTGAGGAGGTGCTGTCTGCTCTTGCAGGGTCACAATCCTCTGCAGCTCACTGGCCATCTTTCAGTGTGTGCCTTCGAGAAAGGTAGCCAGTTCCATGAATACGCCATGTTTGTTTAGTCCCATGGGTTGTTTGCATCATATTTTCGTTCCCATGAGCCCAGCTGCTGGGCGTTCCTGGAAATGTGCTCCCACTTTGCTCAGTTCCGCGGGTTGCCCCACAGCTTGTACCACATCAGCGCGCAGAGCATTTGTGAGAAGTAGTAAGCCTTCAGAGCAGTGTTCCTCATGGAGACAGAATGTTCTAGCATTTCTACTTCAGGCATATCTTTCTTCAGTGAAGCCTCTAGCAGGTCCATGGAGCACTGGTCAGCAAAACAAAAGACCAGAACCTTGTTTCCTACAAAAGCCTTGCTTTGGGTTTTTATGTGACCCTTCAAATCATCTGTTGCTTGAGTTTGAGGTGATTTTTTTTCTGTTGCCAGTTGAACATCAGTGGTTTGAAATTCAGTATTTCAAGACTTTGTGGTTTTGGTAATTACCATGAGCCTGTGCCCTAAAGACATCTTTATGTAAGAAATTCTTTGAATTGTGTGACAAAATCACTGAGCATAAATGCAGGACACACCCAGAGGTGAATTGTCAGTAGATACTGAGTGTGTAGTTAGTGATGGAGACTGTTAGATGCTGAGGAGAGACCTTTTAGGATATTTTCCATAAATCTAAATGGCAGTCATGTCCCTGCGCTTCTGTTTACTGGGTGAATTTTTTTTCCTCTTGAGGAAACACCTTCATTGTAACAAGGTGTTCATTTTATAAAAGCTGTCAAGAGTAAAGTTTGTTCATTCAACAAACATTTGAGTACCAGCTCTGTTGAGCCCCACCCTCGCTCTGCTTTTAGAGGGAGGTCCATGGAGTTGGGGTGATGCTCTTCAGTCAGAAGGTCAGGAAGGAAAGCCCTCTGGCACCCAAGAGCTGCAGAGGCCAGGCACCTGGTGAAGAGTCTCTGGGGTGGGGAGAGCCTGCGAGTTTGAAGAGTAATAAGGCACCTGGGGGGAAGGGAGAGGAGCCTGTACAGAGGGTCAGGTCCAGAACTGGGGTTTCCTTTTGGGGTCGCTAGGAAGCCAGTGGCGGGTAACTTGGCAGAGCATTTTCTGGTTTTATTTTATTTTATTTTTAATATTTTTATTTATTTTTATACAGGAGCTGGGGTACAGGCCAGAGTTGCAGGGTTGGGGGGTGAGAGGATTCACCAGAGGCAGAGCAAGGAACAGAACAGGCAGACAACAGAAATACACTGCTGAGGGGAGCAGCAGGCATGACAGGAGAGGTCTGCCGCACCATGATTTGCTGGTTTTAAAGGGTCAGTTGGGCTGCTGTGGAGAACAGATTGTCAGGGAGCAAGACAAAGCAGGAGTGATACTAGTGAGGTGTGCTGGAGGCAGGTGTGTGGGCGTGGGTCTCTCGGAGGTAGATGCCAAGCCCTTGATGATTAGAAGGTAGGGTGAGAGAAAAGGGGGTCTCGCTGGGCACTGGGTTTGAGCTTCTTTAAAGCTAGATTGTGGTGCCACTTGCATGGAAGAGAGCAGGTGCGGGCTGAGGTGGGTAGAAATTGAGAACAGTTTTGGTTTTGTTAAGAGTTCGGGGTCTTTGGTAAGTGATGTGAAAGGCCCTTAGGCTTGTGTTATGAATGCCTCTGCATGTTAAAATGTATTCCAGTTTTGTAGACATAACCTTTTTGGGGGTTTAAATCACATCCTCTGTAATTTACTCCCCCCAAGAGTGCCGGATGTTGCTGCACAGGCGCAGTTATTATGCAGCAGGCGCTGAGGAAGGGGCGCTGGGGCCCAAAGGGAAGCCCACAGAAGAGGGGCCAGTCTAGCTGGGAAATGTCCCTCTTCAGCATGGCCTTCGGACACACAAGTGATAACAAGGCAACTTGACACACGACAAAGCTGTGCTCCAGCCTTTTGCCCTGCGCGGCCTTCACACTGATTCTCAGCCGTGTGGTGGTGTGCACAGGGCAGGCAAAGCCCACATGCCGTGCCGCTCGGCCGGGAGCCGCCATGGTGAGCGGGTCACTGGCACGGGGACTTCTCCAGCCTTGCTCCCCAAGGCATGCTTGGTATTTGAAGGACTTTTTCTTCCAATGCAGGCCTGATGTCCTTGGCCTCCTGCCTCACCCACTAAATGCCAGTGATCTCTCGCATCGGCACAAAAACAGCAGGCCGAGCCGCTACACACCATTTGAGACCCTTGTGCAGTGCACGGCCACCGCGTGGTGAAGTCGGGCGTCTGTACCGCACCCCCTTCCTTGGTTTTGACATTCTCCAAAGAGTGCCCTGTTGTATGCTGTGCACATAGGCACATAGGCACCGGCTGACAGTCCTGGCGTGAGTGGACATTCCCCGAGACCGCCCAGAATAAGAATGCCTTTCACCCACCCCGTGACCCCCAGCACAGGGCGGGCCTGCGGAGGAGATAACATGGACGCAAGTCCATTTGGTTGGGCCTGATGGTACTTGGCAGAGGTACCTCAGTGATCCTCATTTAAATGCTCTGTGCCCCCTGCCCTCACCCCAACCAGAAGGCCTGTGTATGAGTATAGTTGCTGCTGACTTCTCAAGTACCAGGTAGAGGTGGTGTTGGGGAGCAGGCACCCCAGTCCTGTAGTCAGGAACTAGTGGCCTTCACAAGTTCTGCTTCTTTTAATTCATTGTTTGTAACTGCCTGACATCTCTGTACCCTTTTTTTCCAGACAATTTATGAAAACCGAATATACAGCCTTAAAATAGAATGTGGACCCAAGTACCCAGAAGCACCCCCCTTTGTAAGATTTGTAACAAAAATTAATATGAATGGAGTTAATAGTTCTAATGGAGTGGTAAGTTGGCTTCTCTGTCCTGCTTTTTCTTGCTGTTGAAAATTACTTTGTATTTAGCATCAGGGCACTTTAAGCCATGTTCTCTCTCTCCCTTGGTTACTTGATATAAAATACCTTGCTGTGCACACATGCAGATTTGGGGTGGGGCCCGCTTCCCGGCTGTATTCAGCCATCACTGGCACAGTTTATAATCTGGGCGACACGGTGCCGGTCGCTTTGAGGAACGAGCTCATTCAGTCCCCATGAGAACAGGTGAGGAGAGAGGCACAGGAGTGAAAGTTCTTGCCCAGGGTCACACTTTCACCTCATGGGCCTTATTTGTGGACCACTGGTACGTAATATTTTTTCCTTTAATGCTTTTTTTTTTTTTTTTTTTTAAGCTTAGTATCAGTACCATGCTCACCATCAGACCTGGAAAACCAGTCCCACTCGTTGTAAGAAGACAGTGATGATGGCAGTAAATAGCAGTTAACCAGCATTTTGACTTCATACGTTGCTGGCTCAAAGCTTTGCATTTTTGCTGCCTGCTCTCCTTTGCAGGGGGGCTAGTGTTACAGGGTGCTTCTCATGTGAGCGTCACGTGGACAAGGCCTGTTTTTGAGTTATTCCCATGACTTGAAAGAAAAGTGAACAGACATGAGACTTGTTGCCAGTGTCCAGTGTTCCTTGCTGTACACGTGAGCTCTGGGACGGTGGCATCCTGAGCCCAGAGCTGGGAGGTGCCGCCTGTCGTGAGAGCCACCACGGCCTTCGCTCTCCCAGCCACCCCGCCAGCCTGGCACACCCCCACTGTGTGGAGAGTCCCCAGCTGGGCGGCTGGTGCAGGAGCAGGTGGTCCTTTCCTAGCTGGTCAGGTGGGTGGGTGCCGAGGGTCTGGCCACCTCTCCGAGGGAGGTGCCGTGCAGGCATTCCTCACGTTAGCTGTTGGTGTGCGGCCAGCATGTTCAGCTCAAAAAGTCCGTTGTCTTCAAGTTTGTTCTGTTGCTTAGCTCCGGGATACAGCGGTTCTTTTATTAGAGTGCTTGAAAATAATTGGGGTGGGTTGTTTTGTTTTTTTTTTGTTTTTTTCCCTTTTTGTAGGTGGACCCAAGAGCCATATCCGTGCTAGCAAAATGGCAGAATTCATATAGCATCAAAGTCATCCTGCAGGAGCTGCGGCGCCTCATGATGTCAAAAGAAAATATGAAACTCCCTCAGCCGCCGGAAGGACAGTGTTACAGCAATTAATCACAAAGAGAAACCACAACCCCCCGCCCCTCCCCATTCAATTTAAGCAGTCTTCATTTTCCACAGTAGTAAGTTTTCTAGATACGTCTTGTAGACCTCAAAGTACTGGAAAGGAAGCTTCCATTCAAAGGCAGTTTATCTTAAGATACTGTAAATGATACTAATTTTTTGTCCATTTGAAATACATAAGTCGTGCTCTAACCAATCACCATCCTGTCAAGTGTAACCACTGTCCACATAGTCGAACTTCTGGGATCAAAAAAGTATATTGAAATTGAGTCCCGCCGTAACTGGTGGGGCACATCTAACTCAACTGTGAAAACACATCACACAATCACCTTGCTGCTGATTATGTGGCCTGGGGTCTCTGCCTTCTCCCCTCTCCACCCACCCACCCCCTCGCTCCTGCAACAGCCCTCCAGCTCGGGGTGGCTCGTTAGAGTCGATGTGAAGGTTTTAGGTCACAGCCTGTGGGACTCCTGCTGGGTGTGTGGGGTGCTTTGTCTGCACCCCTGGTTTCCTTTCTTAAGTCTTAAATGAAGCCCCCCTTCCAAGCCATCATCCCATCCCCAGACTCCACTATCGCCCCTGGCCGAAGCATAGATTGTAACCCCCTCTTCTCCCCTCTGAAATTGGCCTTTGGTGAGGAATTCAGGGCTTTCCCCATAACTCCCCCACCTTTATCGAGGGGTGCTGCTTTTCCCGTCCTCCTCAAGTCCCTTTCTGTACCATTACCACCCACCACCCTCCATGACACTTCCTTGCTTTGGCCAGAAGCCATCAGGTAAGGTTAGAAAGTCTCTGACCTCCCGCCTTTAGTTTTGGAACCACGTTTGTTTCCTCTCCACCAGCCTGGGAAATGAATATCGGGTCCTCAGCCCTGCCGCCCTCTGCTGTCACCCTCAGCTGATGGGTTTTTAGCTCAGGTTTCGCTAAGGTAAAAGAACAGTCCCCAGGGCTACTCAGACCTGCCCACTCTCAAAGTCCTTGGTGATTAAACGTGGAGAAAGACCACAGGAAGACACTTGTAAGCACATGCACGATCCCTCTGACTGAATTGTTTTCTTTTCCTGTAATTGCTTTTGCTTTTAAAAAAATGAAGTTTTAAAACAGGGCTCTTATTTGGTCATCCTTGCGATCCTTTGGGGTCTAGTTTGGAATCTGACAACTGGAACAAAAAGAACCTTGAATTCGGTGCATACTTTGGTTTTGGTGCTGCTGCTTCTCACGGTCCTCAGCAGGGATTAAAAAAGAACTCGGTGTGCACGGCAGATCCCCGAAATTGGCGGGCTTGACTTCCTGGCAAATTGCTGCGTTTTTCCACTTTTCTGTTTAGGACCACTAAATGCTGAGATGTGGATGCATACCGAAATAAAGCAATTCATTGTGTTCTGAAGGGTTTTTTTTTTTTTTTTTTCTCCCTCAATTTAGTGTTTATGTAAAATCACCTTTTGAAGCAGCAACTATCCAATCTGAAAAACATTTGATCTTTCCATTAATCTTTTTCTGGGGAAAACCTTAGTTTTAAGGATTTAACATCCTATAAGTAAAGATTAACAGTATTCCATAAGCAGCCTTTTTATTGTCAGACCATTGCCTAATTTTAATATAATAAAAAAAAGTGTGCGTTAATATTTAAGAAGCTGTATTCTTCTTCCTCTTGGAATATAATTTAGGAACAGAACGCAATGTCTTAGATGCCTTGGGATTCGGGCTGGCGTCCTAAAGCAGGGAAGGGCAGACTTTTTCTACAAAGGACTTAAATATTTAAATATTTAGGCTTTGTGGGCCAAGAGGTAAAAAATCAAAGGTATTCGGTAAGTATTTCTCTAACGAGATTTTCACATTTTTAGTGATGAAACAGTAGAAGTGAGTGCAACTTTTTGGGTAATGTTACATACAGGCCTACTAAGAGAAGAAAGGAATTCTTTGTTTAGGGAATAAGATTTTGTTTAATTGGGATTCACAGCCATTTTCCCTGTTAGCAAGTCAGTCACAAATGTTCATCTGTAAAATCTTTGTTGAGGAGCCACGTGAAAACAGTCAGTGGGCCAGTGGACCGTGGTGCCCACCCTCGACCTGAAAGCTTGAAGTGGGGAAGGAGAGGGCTGTCCCTCCTGTGACTTGAGGAGATTGTGGGGCTGTAGCTCTTGAGTCTCCACTAGAGAAGGACGATGGGTTGAGTGGTCTGTTGGGAGGGCAAACTCACAGGGTTTCCACATACATTTCTGCTGTTTGAAGCAAAAATTTTGATCTGCTGCTTGACAGTTCGTCTGCCATCTACTCTGTAAGGAGTGGAAGCGTCTCTGCAGTTCCTACCCAGGGTTTGAACTTCCTGTCACGGGGCCACAGTCCCAGTGCCCTGTGCAGGAGCCAGGCTGTCCCCTGGAGGTGGCTGGGGCCGCCCAGATGTCAGCACCTCAGCGCGTGTCGTCGGGCCTTCCAGCAGGCCCCTTCCTGAAAGTGCCGTCCAGACCTCTGCCCAGTGGCCTGAGGAGTCCTCTGGAATGAATTGGTGCCTTTCAGGCCCCCTGAAAGGGGTCTGGACCAGGGACTTTTCTGGGTTCTTTACCAATCAACTCTCGAGAGAAAGGATGAAGCTCTGAAATTACTTCAAAATGCTGCTGGAAAACCCCAAAGCAAATTCAGCTAAATGGAAGGGAGAAAGCGGCCTGTCTGCAACCCCAGCGTGCACCGTGTAGTCTTCGTGCCTACGTGGAGCGGGGATCAGGGCTTCAGAGAAACACAGAACCTTCCTGGATCAACCATCTCAATCTCTGGTCTGTGGTTATTACGACCTGCGGTTGTGTCATTTGCTTTCACTGGTGGTGGTGGGTTTACGGGGGCCTAACGTCTATGGCTGGAGCTTAGGCCTCACCTAAATAAACCCTGGAGGAGTCTCACCTGAGGTTCACAAGAAGGCGGCTTTTGCTGGTGCCTGCCTGGAAATCCCAGCGCCTGCCAAGTCCGCTCCTGAGAGAAGATATGTTCAATGTTATTTTTCACTGCAGAACTTTGGGGTGTAAGGAGGTCCCATAGTGACCTGACTAAGTCGGGGGAGGCAGTGGGCATTAAAAAGACCCTTTCTGATTGACCAGCATCAAACCAGCAATAGGTCTTCATTGCCCAGTGACCTCTGACCAGGTTCCTAGGTCCTTTGGGTGGGGTGTACACTTAGGAGTGGAGGGGACAAAGGGCACAGACCCTGGTGTACAATGTCCAACCCCTGGTGGACACCCTCCTGCCCTTTGGACCTTCCCCAGGAGTGGACACTTGGCATCCTTTCTCCGCTGTCCCTGCTCCCCTTTAGTCCCTCATCCCCGAACCTCCCAAAGGACTCTGGAAATAGCATTAGAATGGCTCTGTCTCGTTCGACAGAGGGGGAAATTCTCAGGCAGGGCAGCTGGTGAAATCACCTCTTTCCAGTTGGAGAGAAATAAGCTGGGGCGGGCTGTGTGGACTACACAGCTCTGAGCCGCAGGGAGCACAGGAGTTTCTGGGCTGTTTTTAGCTGTCTCGAGTTGGCTGAAGGCGACTTCAGAAGAAGGGAGGACTTAGGGTGAAGCCAACATTGCTGCTGCTGGGCCCATCGCTGGGATTCTGCTTGGTGGCAGTTGCCAGGGACGTGGACTTGGTGAATGCCTGATGGTTCTGATTTTCCAAGAGAAGCTGCAAAGGCAACTCCTAACTGTCACCTGACCATCTTCTTTCACTGTCCACGTCGACCAAAGCGCCAGCACAGCTCGCCGGCCATGGGTGAGGCCTGTCCAGAAAGGCTTTGCCACTAGATGCACCGTGGTCTGCTGGAGATGGTCTTGTGGACCTGGGACCACTGGGAGGCCTGTGGGCCTGGAGGCTCTCTCCAGGGTACAGGGAGCACCAGCTCTGGCCCAGGTGCAAGTGGCTGCAGGATGCAGAGAAGCAGTCCCACCTTCATGAGGCTGAGCTGCCCTTGCAGTGAGTGACCCCAGTTCTTGCCGTGCCATTGCTCCCATTCAGAGAGAGGACCCCAGTTCCAGAAAAGTGAAGATGTGAAACACTGTAGTGCCAGCAAGGCATGGGGCAGGTCTGTCGACTCGGGCAGACGGGTGAAGGGGCGTCCCGGAGCCCTCAGTGGCTTTTTCAGGCTCTAGTGCTCTTGAGACACCAATTGTGGGGTGAGCCCGCAGGCTGGCAAGGCAGGAAGGCCAGGGGGCACTGGAGACTGTCAGGCCTCGTAACCCCCAGGGAATCTTTACTCTTCAGGCTTTCTCGGGCATTCTCTCGTGGCTCTTCCTCTGGTAATTGTTCCGCCATAGCCATTCTCCTGTCTCTGAGTGACGGGGCCCTTACAGCCTCGGCCTCGAGGCTCAGGTGTGCCCACTTGCGCATGCCCTCACCATGCTCCAGGTGTCCACCCTCAGGCACACGTGCCCCACGCCCACGCTCCTCAACGCCTCCCGTATTCAGGGCCGCAGGTGGTAGCCACAGAGGCCAGCAGCGTAAAAGCCTGAGCAATTCACTTACCCTCCGGTACCCATCTCAGAGTTGGCGGGAAGCAGGGGTGTTTGCCCACACCCCATCCCTCAGGGCAGGCAGGAGAGTCACTCGCCCGAGCCCCCGTTTTTATATTTACTAAGTAGGCACGGCATGGACCTAGAAAGGACTTCACCCACCAGGAGGGAAGCAGAATGGGAGAGGAGGCGCCTTCCTGCTTCTCATCCCGGCCCTCAAGTCCCTCCCTGCCTGTGTCAGGGGTCCCCCCAGGGTCACCTCCGAAAGTGCCCGTCAGCGGGCCTTGCTGGCTCCTGTCCCCCCACTGCTTTTCATAACATACCCAGGAAGGGGGCCTCCGCTTGGCTCCTCAGAGTTTGCTCCCTTCCCGCCTCTCCAGTCCCTGCCGAGCGGCCTGAGGCCTACCGGGTAGTTTCAAGGCCGGCCCCACCCGGGTGCCCCGGCCCGTCCTGCGGATGCACCTGGGCTGGGCGGCCCCCTCGGGGCCGGGCTCTCGGGAGAAGGGGCGTCTGCCTGAGCCCCGCCGCACACGCGGTCAACGACAACATCGTGCTTCTGTGTTCAGCCTCGGGCGCGTGTGTGAAGCGCGCAGACATCTGCGGCGGGCCTGGAAGTGGACTTCGCCGACCCAGGGACACGGGCGGTTTGAATTCGGTCATTTCCCGGCCGCCTAGCCCGGCCACGCCGGCCCCGGGGCTCCCTGCCGTGGAGTCACAGGCGCCCACGCGCCCCTCCCGCGCGCCCTCCGCGCCGCCCCACGCCGGCGCCGGCCCGGGGCGCGAGGGCCGGGCCAGGGCTTGAACTCGCGCCCGCGCGGCCCGGCGCTTCCTCGCCAGCGTCGCCTTCACGGCGATGAGGGGAGGCCGGGCCGGGGAGGCTCCTCCCGCCGCCTCCGCCGTGGACACGCGAGGGTGACAGTCCGCAGGCTGGGGGGGCAGGGGGGACGCGGACGCCTGGCCGCGAAGTCTGGAGGGGCCGGGGAGCCCGTGCGCGAGCGAGCCGAGGCGCGTCCTGCCCTCCCGGGCGCGCGGGGTCCACCCGCCTCCGCTCCCGGCGCCGCCCCGCAGGTGCTCCTCGGGCCGCGCGGGGCTGTGTGAAGGGGACCGACGCCTCCGCCCTGGCACGCGGCAAGCGCCCCGAAACCCCTACCTCGTGCGGTCACCCCGTTCTCCGCGCGAGCGACGCTCCCGGCCGCGGGGCCTGCGCGCGGCTCCGCCGTGGCCAGCAGGGGGCGCCCGCGCGCCGCGGACGGCGGGCCCGGCCGGGTGGGGCTCGGGGCGGCGGGGCGCGGGGCGGGGCGGGGCGGGGCCTCGGGGCCGGGCGCTCGGGAAGACGGGGGTCTCTGCCCGAGACGGGGAGGGGAGGCTCAGCCCCCGTCCCCAACACCCCCCTTTTTTTTCACCCCGGATGCGCCGAGGCCCGGGAAGGACGTGCCCAAGGCCCGCGGCGCGGGGAGGGGGCCGGGGAAGGGTCGTCGGCTGCGGGGCTTGAGGCGCGAGCGCGTCCCGAGCCCCCCGGGGCCGGCAGGTGAGCCAGCGGGTGCGCCTCCACCGTGCGGGCTCGGGGTGGCCGGCGCTTTCATTTTCCAGAGAAGCCAGGCGTCAGCTTTTAGTAAGACATCTCAGTTTTCATGGTCACCATGAATTAAAACTCTTAGGGTGTTTTTTTTTTTTTTAAGATTCATTTATTTATGCATACAAGAGCCGGGGTGCAGGCCAAGGGGAGGGGGGATAAGCGTGTGAGAGGATTCACCAGAGGCAGAGCGGGGAGCAGAACAGGCAGACTGAGTGAAATCCACTGCTGAGGGGCGCAGCGGGGAGGCAGGAGGGGTCTGCTGCGCCACGTGGGTAGCTCCCTGGCCGGGGATCGAACTCGTGCTGCAGTGGCTGCAGACAG